GGTTGGGTACGGCACTGTGGCTGTCAGTAGTTGTGTCTCACTCAGAAGTTCAGTACATAAGGCTCACCCCTTTGGCATGAAAATGGGTACACGTGGCTTTTCTGAGCGAGAATGGGAGCGTGCTGCCTTACAGCACTCTGGATACCATGCTCTCAAATGTCATCTCATGTGTTGGGGACACAAAAATACTGCTGTGCTCTCGCTCGCTCTGAGCCCAGTTTCCATTTTGCAGCACTGTCTCAAATGCTAATGCTGTTTCTGTAACTGACTGTTTATATCCTGGCTCTTAAGGGAAAAAGGGAACACAGGTAACAGCGAATAGTGAATAATGCTTGATCGTGGAGAGAATGGCCCTCATTTGGTGCATAATGCTACAAATTGATTTGCATTTAACTGTAAGTAGAGAGATGGTCCTGAAAGGGTTTTGCAAATTGCTCAGAATAATGTTGACTACAGCAATTGGTAGTATTCATAATCAACATTGAGTTGTTCATGACTATTAACGGAAAATAGTAATTCTTGTACCTTTAAAATATAAATAAATATAACTTGGCAGGACCAGCCCCTCTTTTATCATGCTGAATTATGCACTGTGGGGTTCAGTCCGTGGAAGTGTGTTGTTAGAGCTGATGTAAATTGCATCTAATGGCAGATGACTCATGGCTGTGCTGACAGCCAACGCTGCATCCTAAAGGCACATACAAGCAGATGATGAGAAGAGAAGGCACAATAAACAGGGCTTTTCTTCTTTTTCCCTAGATGCTAGCTACACAAGTCTTTGCTCAGGTCTTTTGCTGACATTGCCATTTCAGTGGCCATAAATTGATGTCCTAGTTGTTGCTCTTGGTGTAGACTTTCGAGTGCAAGCTGAGCAAATTCTTTTCAAATTCCAAACAATTTTGAGGCTTTGAAAAGTACTGATACTTCAGAAAGTATTGACTTAACATGCTTCACTGATTTTTTTGCAAATGCCAGTTCTTTTAAGTTTTATTACTTGTGCCAGGACTGTACCCCTACAGCTGGTAATTGGTAATATCACACCCCCTGATGGAGCAGCAGGTCTTGATACACCCTTAGTGTTGCCTCTGCAGTGACAATGCTGTGACAGTGCGAAGGGCTGAAGGCAGACCTGATCACTAAACAGGATTTTGAGGACTTGGTTAGGCTTTTCATAGTGAGAACAATCCCATTAAGATACAGTTCATGGTGTCACTTTTCCCTGTCTGTTGAAAAATGAAATAGGAGGGTACATGGAAACACTGCGTTTACCTTCCTATGCTCGCAAGCCTCCTATGTCTGGATGCTTGACTCTAATTTTGGTGGATCAGGGATCAATTTTATTTATCTGACAGCCCTAACCTGAAGGCATGAATGTGATGCAATTGGTACCACAGCACGGGGTAGCCCTGGGAAGCTAAACCAGTTCAGGATGCAAATGAGGCCTTTCTGCCCTGCTGAGGTGCGGGGAATCCAGATTTGCACCGGAGGAAGTTCAAACCCCTCTTCCACATCTGGTGTGAAATGAAAGGTAAATGGAAACAGAGCCTTTATTTTTGGAGAAATCACAGAATGGCCAGGGTTGGAAGGGACCTCAAGGATCAGGAATCTCCAACCCCCTGCCACATGCAGGGCCACCAACCTCCACGTTTAATACCAGACCAGGCTGCCCGGGGCCCCATCCAACCTGGCCTTGAACACCTCCGGGGACGGGGCATCCACAGCCTCTCTGGGCAGCTGTTCCAGCACCTCACCACCCTCTGTGTAAATAATTTCTCCGATGTCCAACCTAAATCTCCTGTCCCTCAACTTAAAAACCATTTCCTGTCGTCCTACACGTATCGACCCTTTCAAAGAGTTGATTCCCCTCCCCTCTGTAGGCTCCCTTTAGATACTGAAAGGCTGCAATGAGGTCACCCTGCAGCAGAGAAAGGATCTTGGAAGCTTTAGGACAGAGCAGTGAGGTAGGAATGCCCGGAGCAGTGGTGGCATTTGTTAAGCCACTGGCAAGAAAGCTTTTACTCCAACCTTCTGTAACTTCATTTGAAATGGTGATATAATTACTGCTTATGCTACAGCCCAAAGCTACTTCCTGTTTTCAATATTGTAATTACACTAGAGGCCACTTATTCTGACTGTATCAGCCCAGGATATGGACATTACACGTTAATAGGGAGTACCTTCAAATTGTTATACTTGGCAATAGCTGTATCCTGGAGTAACAAACTTCTTGCCATTCTCCTCGTTGGGCCTATCAGTATATAAAAAGAGAATAAACAGGAAACCACCATTCCTCCTTCCCCTGCCTCCCTGCTTTTAAATGTTGTTAGTCTTAAGGATAGTTTTTAAGTGCTGAATTTGTAGATGCTGCTTATAACCCCAGGAGAAGCTAAAGATGGGGAATCCATGTTGATCCAGCAGTGATGCTGCCCACTGTGCTCCTTGCTGCTGTAGGCAGCATGCTGCCCTCGTACTAGGATGAGGAATGGCAAAGCTGGGAGGTATTCCAGTGGTTCAGTGACTCAAAGCTGAATCAGTGTCCCCATGGTGCTTGTCAGCACTCTGATTTGGTACTCTGGAGTGAGTAACTGCCTTCAGAGATGCTGGTCACCCGGAAGAAAAGCCACATCAAGCTGTGGTTTCATTTTTCAGTATGACTTGGATGTTTGGCAGTGGCTGACAGACTTCTTGTCATAGCAACAGCTTGTTTTAATTTCTTGAATCAGCTTAAATGCAGCATATTTACTGACTTTTGTTTCCAATGAGGAAATGTGTAAATTTTAATTGACCTAATCTGAAGTTAGAAAACAAGCCTCTGCACATGAGAGAGGTAAGGGGCTAGAGTGCCCTGGCTTTGCTTTTGATTGGATTCTATCTGAATTCACTGCTCCTTACCCTGCAGACCTGTCTGGCTTGCAGTAGGAAAAAGTTTTCTATGACAAGGTTAGCAAAGCACTGGCACAGGTTGCCCGGAGAGGTGGTGGGTGCCCCGTCCCTGGAGGCACCCAAGGCCAGGGGATGGGGCTCTGAGCACTTGATGTAGCTGTGGGTGTCCCTGTTCATTGCAGGGGAGTTGGACCAGATGGCCTTTAAGGTCCCTTCCAACTCAGTTCTGTGTTTCTATGTGTCCCAGAGGCATCTTCTGTAAATACTGGCAGAGATTTTTTCCATTTTCTGTTACACTCTCTGATGGCTTTGTGGGAGTACAGAGGATAGTCAGGTTGGTAACTCTGAATTAAATGGAAATAAACTCTCCAAAGCTCTGATTGTATTGGATTTGGCCAATGGATGCTACGAGGGATGGTGTAGCTGCATGTTTAATGTTGTATTTAATCCCTCCAGATACTTCCATGTACTTAACAGTCCCTAAGTGCTGCAGTGCTGATGCTCGTCTATGAAGGCTGCAACTCTTAGAAAAGGAAGAGTAATGCTCTTTGGCAGGAAAGCTGGCTTTCCCCTTAGAGCACACTCACGTGTTTGGCCAGTATGAAATAAATGAGCAGGGCTGGAGCTGGGCAGCAGTGGTTTGGTTTGTGTGGTTATTCCAGTACCACTCTTGCATCGTCTTAGTGCTTGAAATCCCGTTTTGATATTAGATGAGCTTCTTGAGGCTAATTCTGAATATAATTTGGTGTTTCCATGTACCTCTATCTGCATCTTGATCATTAAAACAAGTTTAGCATTTCCTGTGCTTGATCTTACGCTTGTGCTTCAGACATGCATGAGGCCTCTGGGATGGTTCCTGGCAGCAAGAGCTGTTTGTTTGACAGGACTTGAAATGCTTCTTTAAAGATTTTTGTCTGCTTTTTGCTGGTAAAATCATCATTACTGTCCCTGTCTTACAGTTTTCATTCACTTCTGTTCTACTTGAAGCTGGGGGGGAGCCTTACTGTGTTTGCCAATGCCTTACATTGGGTGTTGGGAGGAACATAGCAGTACTGGAGAAGATGTGTCCAGAATTATCTTGGCAGCAGCATAGGCTCTTCAGAAGCCAGGAAGGAGATTTCTAGGGCCCAAGCAGGATGCTCTGGCCAGGCCATCGCGTCAGTTCTGCTCTCTCAACTCACGAGGGAGGAGAGAAAAATAGCTTTTGGCTTTTTCTGTGAAAGGATGTTGGGTATTTGCAGAAGGTGTCTGGGGGAGAATCTGTTCTTCTGTTCTCTTCCCTGCAGATGGCTGCCATTACATGAGGTACACCATGCAACGCTACTTCATTGCTGCATCCATTCCCCATGCAGGCACTTTGCTTGCAGCCCTTCTTGATGCGGTGCTTGGGTCTGCATGCTGTTATAGCCAAAGCATGATTAACAGCTGTGCAGCTGTCAAGTGTGCAGGTACTTCTTTTGGTGTGACATGGAGAGCAGCCTGGGGAAATAGGCTATAGAACTTCCAAGCATGTTTGGAGTCAAAGGTTCAAGAAATGCGGCTGTGAATGGAATGGAAATGAATGGAGGAAAAAAAAAAAAGGGTAGTATGATAACTTTCATAGTATGTGCTGAGTGTTCCTTGACTTTGTGTGCAACAGAACTCAGGGAGGTTCTGCATAAGTGCAGGGGTTGCCCGGAAGCTGAGCGGCTCTTCTTTCCCTTTGTCACCCTGCTGCTGTGCCTGATCTCTTCCCCCTGCCCTGCAGACTGTGGCTCAGCTCCTTGAGCCAGCAGCAAACACCATTTTTCTTCTGACTGCATTTCCACCAGTATACTGAGATACATCAGTTTCTTAAGCAACCAGGTGAACCAGGGCTGGATGCAGCAAGACATGAGGCTGAGGGGTATTTTTCAGTTAAACGATTCAATTTCTTTGTATCCATAGCACTTAAATGCTGCTAGCTATAGTCTATGTACCTCTTTCTACTGAAGTTACAATCAGTGTTAAATCCCTGTTGTTTCTGCATGATTGGGAGCAAGAAGTTCTGATGCAACAGAATGTGAAGTAACAAACTTTTAATTGTTTGAAGGGAAGTTTTAATGAGTTCCACTCACTGTTGCTTTGTCTTTCTGCAGGGATGTGAAAGCAGGAAACATTCTTCTTGGAGAAGATGGCTCAGTGCAAATTGCAGGTAACTTTTTCCTAGCAGCTTCGAGTAAGCTCTGGGCATAACTTTGTCTGGAGAGACTCTTTAATGGGCAAAGAAAACAAACCAGCATAGAAATGGGAGCTTCAAGAAAAAGAATTGTTTTTCTAAACTTAAAAAATAATATTCAGTTTGTTACATTTTGATATCTTAAAATACTATTCTTTGTAATAATGAACATCAGCATAAATCTTTTGATCCCTTGGAATCAAAGGATGAGATGAAAAATTATTGGAATAATGAGATAATAATTCTTGGTGGTTGCTTTAGCTAATACAGATGTGTCTGGAGATGTCTGTGCTCACTGCTGTCACAAGCTGCTTTCCTTCTGTAGGAGAGAATAGCACTGTTAAAGACACTGCACCTGAAATACAGTTTCTGCCTAAATCCAAAACTGCTTTGTTTTTTGTTTCAAGTCTCCCAGTGCTCTTAATGCCTGCTGTTATATTTCTAATGAAGTGTAAATAATTAATCCCACATGGCAGCTGATGGAAGGCAGGGTGTGGCCACCAAAATGCTTTACACTAAAATACCGTTATTTTTTCTGCAGTGGAGCCAAGATGTAACATTTTGGATTTGCAGTTGTACAGAATGTTAGGTTGTATTCTGGGAGAGGCTGTGTGTAGCTGTAGCATTAGGACAATGCACTACTTTTCTGCCAGCCTAGGATAAAGCCTCTTGTGTTTCTCTTCGACAGGGTGCTGAGGCTTGACTTTTAATTAAGGCTTTTATTAAGGTGCCTGTTGGTGTATTTTTGTCTGCTGGGTAACATACAGATGATGGGTAATTTTAAGGCCAATTTAAATGGTCTCATAAAATCCCTTACTTAGCTTTTATGAATTTTGAAGTGTTTCTTTGGCTTGTGACTTGCAGATATTCCCCTGGATTTATATGTGCAACACTTAAATGATGAAATAACTTCTGCACATTCTGTGAAAGCAGCACTGCAAGATTGTGGCCTTCCAATATTCGAAGGGAGCATACAAACAGGAGAGGGTAAACTATTTACGAGGATGGATAGTGATAGGACAAAAGGGAATGGTTTTAAACTGAGACAGGGGAGGTTTAGGTTGAATATTAGGAGGAAGTTTTTCACCCAGAGGGTGGTGAGGCACTGGAACAGGCTGCCCAAGGAGGCTGTGGATGCCCCATCCCTGCAGGCATTCAAGGCCAGGCTGGATGTGGCTCTGGGCAGCCTGGGCTGCTGGTTGGTGACCTGCACATAGCGGGGGTTGAAACTGGATGAGCATCGTGGTCCTTTTCAACCCAGGCCATTCTATGATTCTGTGTGCAACAAAATGTTCCCTTTAACAGTTTTTGTTTGTTTGTTTGTTTGTTTGTTTTTTTCTCTGAAGGTGCACAAGGAATAACTCTCTAATCTTTCTTGCAATAAAGTAGAGCAGCTGGACTCAACCAAGTTCAGCAAGTTCATAACAGCATCAGGAAGCACTTTTGTTTCTGTGAAAGCAGCTGATAACTTGAAAGAAACAAAAATAAATGAATGACCAAATAGGAGAGAGGAGGTTGGCCTGGGCAAAACATGAGAGTTTGTTTCTGTGGGAATTTCTGACACTTCAGCTTCCTTTCTTCCTGACCCAGGATGGAATAGCGAAATTCCTTGTGAAAGTTTTGAGCAGCGAAAAGTTTCTGGAAGCAAATCAATTCAAATAAAGGGAATTTTGTTTCAGCAAGATCAGAGTGCTCGCCTTCTGACAATATTTATGTGTCTTATGAATAATTTGGTTGATAATCGACTGCTTTAATTATCAGCTGGGTGACTTCACTGTGTTCCCATGAAACAAAACTATTTATTTCACTGGAAAGTTACACCATGAGGAGAAATAAAAATTGATCAGCTGTGGAATGAAGCCTGAGGTTAGAGCACATGGGGCCCCTCCCTTGAAGGAACTGGTGTTGGTGTGTATGTAAAAATGCTAACAGTTTATCTGGAAAAGATGACTTCAGCTCTTTATAATGCATCCTTTCCCCTTTGTCATCCTTACATCAAAACTGCCTGCAAATCCCTTGATGTGAAGCTCTGAATGTTTAGCCTTTGCAGCCCCATGTTCCTGGGTGCTTGCTGCTTCTTGACACCATTGGCCGTGCTTGTCTCAGAAGAAATGGAAATCTTAAATGCAAAGCTGAGGAATGTAAATCTGACACTGCAAATCCTTTGAAACGAAGCAGCAGCTTTTAGGGAGTTTTATAGACATGCCTGCCCTGTAGTGGAGGTAACCCTACTGCTGGGCTATTCCTCCACAGTGTATCAGAGAATTGAATTCAAGTACTGTTAATGCACACCTGGGAAACCTTCCCTGTGTACAGTTCATGCTGCTGCATTATACAATTCCAACCCTCAGTGCTCTCTCAAAATAGAGAAACCTTTTTTGCTAATACAGACTGTGCAATTCTTGAAGACTGAACAGAAAAAGCACCTTGATGAGGGTGTGTGCAGCTTCTGTCGTAGTTCTGAGCTGAAGGGTGCAGTTGGGACACAGGATGCACTGAGTTCAGGCTGGTGCAGGTAATGCAGCGAGAGGAAAAATCTCTGAGTTCAGAGGCATTCACTGAAAGTAGGCATTCTAAAAATGTCTCTAATGGCCCTCACAAATGCCTGGCTTAATCTCCTCCCCAGGTCCCAGGACTTGGTATTTTTATTCAAGGCTATTTTTAACTGTGCTCCTTTTGCTTTCAGAATATGCATCCACTGAACCAAGGCATAAAAATTGCCTTTAACAGATGCCACCAAAGCCTGAATTGAAGCTGTTTGCTTCTATCTTCATTTTTTTTGCTCTTTTTCCCAAGGGCACTGGTTTGGGCTTGTGGCTTGGCACCAAGTTTTTGGAGCCTGTTATGATCTGGAGAGCATTGCTTTCTCAGTTTGGAATATTTTCTTGCACGCTGAATTAATCTATCTCTGGGAGAGCTGAACTTTCTTTCCCTGATACCATTGTTCTGGGTTGTGCTGGTAGTGGTTGCAGTGTACATTGAGATAGCTGCGTTCTTTTGTGTTCCAGTCTCTCCATGGCAATTACTGTATTTTTTTTTTTTTAATCAGAACATAAAACCTCTGTGCCCTGGCATTTACTGGCTCCGTGGAGTCTAAAAGCTTGTATGGGTAAAAACACTTCTTGTCGACATAAAGTGCAATGATTCTAACACACAGCAGAAACCAGGAGGTTTCCTCACAGCAAGCAAGGCTTGATGTTCCTGAGTTTATGTAACTGTGCAATTATTAAATTACTGGAAGATGAAGTGAGAGACTGCTGATAAATGGGGAGGGATGGGAAAGGGAATGAGAGGAGAGCACACTCGGTGCAGGAGGTTTGCTCACTATGAACCGTGTTCCAGTCGAGGCACCGTGTTCCCCTCTCATTGCAACTGCGTGTAGAGTCAGTCCTTCTTTCTGATTACAATCAGTGGGATATTAAACAGTTCTATCGTACCCTCCTCCATTACAGAATGAAGAAACAAGAGTCTAAGGAAGCTGACGTGCTTTCACAGAAAACATCCGCATCCCTCGCCGTGTGGGATTTTCCTATTGAAGGCATTGCTATTGTCCCCCCAGGCTTTAAAACAAGGCAGGATTAGCACCTGCTCCCAGAGGCCTCCCTCTGGCACTGTGTGCCTGCAATTTCCTGTGCACGCAGTGTTGCCTGGTGGTAGATGGAGATCTCACAAAGTCGTTTGGGACTCGCTAATTGATACTGGGCAAGCTGCCTAACCCCTTGCACTTTATCTATTTATAAAATGGGGATAGTTAAGGCCAGGCAAAACTTGTGTAACTGAATTTGTGTAACTTTCCACAAATCCATGCCAACTTGTCACCAGTTCGCTGTGTTCCTGACTGCTCTTAATTCATTGTACTAAAATAGCGCTGTACATAAACATCTAGCTATGATACAGTCAGTGTCATTCCCCTCCTTCGCCTTAGGAAATGGCAACTTTGGGTGATTAAATTGCCTGAGCAGGGGCAAGGCTCAAATCTGTGTTGGGAAGAGGAGTGCTGATGCAGGGCTGGCTCAGACATTCACCTCAGAGCCTCTTCTCCTGGTCAAAAAAGGGCAAAAAGGATTTTCCTGGCGGCTGATGGGGAGTTGTGGTGCCTGCCCTGTAGCTGCCTGGTGTTAACCTCTTCTTTGTGTCATCTGTAGGATTTCCTGAAGAGATGTTGCGTTACTCAGTTGTTGAAACCACTTGTGAGCTTTCTCCAAAGGCAACGTCTTCACCATCATGTGCTTCGTCGCCCTGAAGTTACTTTGTTCAGCATTGCCATATCTTAATGAGCTTGCATTTGGGACTCTGTTTCAGGAGCAGTTTTTACATTTACTTAAAGAAATCTTGTTCATCTTTCATGTGCCCTGACATTACTGCAGAATGGCTCAACTTATGGTGATGCTTAGAAGAATACAGCTGTCGTTCCACATGTGAACTGATGAGAAATTTTATTAGAAATAGGTGTGACTGTACAATTCTACCTTTCCAGATGAGAGTTTGAGAGAGTAAGGGTGTACTGACAGATCCAGTACCATTGTATGACCCTATAGCTTTTAAAGGGAACATTCCTGTTCTTCACTGATCGTCTCTCTGGTGTCTTACCACCCTGCTTCGTTGTCAGCAGAAATTTGCCATTTACCACTGGTTTACCATGACCTTCATCTTCCTCTTGTCAGGCTTTATTCATCATCAGATTTAAAAGCATAAAGTTCACAGAAAAGCACTCAGAACATCTGCAGCTGTTTTATGGTGGGCAACTGAGCAAGATCGAAGGTGATCAGTGAAAGAAATGTTCAGTGCTGTCTTCTGAAATAATTTCACTTTTACTTGAAGAGGCACAGTATCTTGGCTGTCTGTGTTTAAAAACAGCTCTGAGTTGTTCATGCTGTTGTTCTACTCCTGTAGAAGTTGGGAATTGTTGACGGTGGAGAGGGTCCGTAGGAGAAGCCACAAAGATGATCAGGGGACTGGAGCACCTCCCCTATGAAGACAGGCTGAGAAGCTGGGCTTGTCCAGCCTGGAGAAAAGAAGGCTGCGGGGTGACCTCATTGCAGCCTTCAGTACCTAAAGGGAGCCTACAAACAGGAGGGGAATCAAATCTTTGAAAGGATAGATAACTGCAGGACAAGGGAAGTGGTTTTAAGTTGAGGGAGGGGAAATTTAGGTTGGATGTCAGGGGGAAATTCTTTGCAGAGAGAGTGGTGAGGTGCTGGAACAGCTGCCCAGAGAGGCTGTGGATGCCCCATCCATCCCTGGAGGTGTTCAAGGCCAGGTTGGATGGGGCTCTGGGCAGCCTGGTCTGGTATTAAACGTGGAGGTTGGTGGCCCTGCATGTGGCAGGGGGTTGGAGCTTCATGATCCTTGAGGTCCTTTCCCACCTGTGCCACTCTGTGATTCTGTGGGAATTGCTGTTTTATTCTGATGCAAACCCAGTAAACTTTCTGATTTCAGTTGGCTTTGCTCTCCTGGCTCCTATAGTGCAGTCTTCTTTTTCCCCTAGCGGTAGCTAGACAGAGCAGCAGGTACATTGGCTTAGAATGAAGGAAATGTTACAGTATGAGATGCCTGAGGAGAGAGATTTTTTAATGTCTGACTTCTAAATCTGGATAAAGCGATCTGATTTCTGGTACAGTGGGAGTGTGTTTCCTGACTCACACAGCAGCCCTGGTGCCTGTTGCTCCGTCGCAGCATTCTTGCGTTGGAAACCTATTGAGGCTGGGTCCTTCCAATTGTGTGACTTCTCTTGTTGGGGTTAAATGCATTTGCAGTGTTCCAGCTCTGTTGTAGTCTTTGTGAAGGAAGTTCAGCAGGGGCAGTTGTCAGTAAATCTGGGAGCTTAGGCAGAGACAAGGAGGCACAGATCATATCAGTGGCTCAGAAGTGAGGGCTGAACCCTAAATGTGCTCAGGATTTTAATGTACGGCTTTACAGAATGTGCTTGCTCTCAGGAAATACCTTATCTTAATAGCTGGGACTTGGATGAAGGCAGTAAGATGACATTTGAGAACTGTTTCAAAGTCACTCCTTTCAGCCAAGTAGTGCAGGCTGGTTGTGCCTGTTTTATCCCTCTGGAAATGAGGGGAATTGATTGGGAAAACACTGAATAAATCAACCGTGTAATGGAATACAATTTAATTCCATTTAAACTTTCTGCAGACCTCACATGGCAGATGCAGGGGCACAATTCCAGACTGGAGTTTATAAACTTGTCCTCATGTTTGATGTGAAACGCAGTGAATGCTGTGTAGAGCTTGTGTTTTCACTGCTGGGATTTGCTTTGAGTGGCATTTCCTTTACCCTCCAAATGACTGCATGAAAAGTTGAGGTAAGATAATATCCATAAGCTCAAATATAGCACAACACAATAGCGTGCTGATGGCACTCGGACAAGTGTCTGTTAGTATTGCCTTATTCCAAGTAATTTCTAATTGCTTTTGTGTTGAGATCAATAGGTCTTGTAATTTTAATCTGAGATTTTTGGAAGCTCTTTCGGTTTCTGTGAGAAGCAGGGATGGGATGCACGTATGGAAGATCTGTTTCAAGGAGATCTAATGGGTTTCCATCAGAATATAGACTGTGGTGCTGACAGCAATAGTTATCCATCTAAATGCTAGAACTTTGAGGCTAGCAGCAATATGAGATGCCTCCAGCAAGGGTGAAGACAACAGAATAGCACATCTGGAAGAAGCTGGACTCTAATGATAGGCATTTGACTGTTTCAGTGAAACTTGCCTTTAATGTGAACCCTCAATAATCAGTGTACAGTATAGTGGTGAGTACTAAATTCCTGTCCTTGGAAGACTGCAATCCAGAAGTTGGAATCTTTCAGTGCATTGCATCGAGTTTTTCTTGATGCTGAGAGATTGGTGCGAAGGGCATTGCTGTACTGCTGCTGTGATGCAGGGAGGAGCTTTGCCCTGTTCAGGGATCTCTGAGCCTGCCAGCAATCACAAAAATGGCATTGAAGATTTTGATTGTTTGCACTGTTTTTAAAAAACAACAATAAAAAGGAGGGGAAGAAATAAAATTCAGTGATGGAGAATGACCAGATGCAACTCCATAATTCTGCAATTCAGCTGTGTTGTTTAGAGCAAAGTGGGAGGAAATACTTGGTTTGGGTTTACAGTTTCCTTGTCACCTGACTGAGTTATTTTCTCTAAGAATGGTTTGGTTGCTAAAACTTTGGTAATGCTTCCTTCTGAGCAAACTTAGACCCAGTTCCTGTCTCTTCATGTCTTCTCCTGGTAAAACTCTGAGCATCTCAGTGATGGAATAATCTTCCATCACAAACAAAGCACGTTCTGATGGTAGAAGATCCAGGGTCAGTGGCTGATACCAGTTTGCAGGCTGTGCAGTTACGGCAAATATTGCAAACTGTTAGCTTCATATGCACTCAAATCCTTTTGTTCACAAAAGTCTTGATTGCTTTAAATATTAGTGAGATGCCACTTGAGGCTGTCATTAGTTATGTACGTATACAAACACAAATAAAGCACTTAGTGCCCAGGGCGGGGTTGTACAGCAGCAAGGCTTGCCTTAATGTGCCCAGTGGGCTGTAATGGAAAGTGGAATTTTCCTCTCTGCTGGCCAGCACTGAACGCTGAAGTAATTGAATGGTTGACTACAGAGTATTCATGCACCAGCATTCTTCACTAACTGTTGGTTGTTCTTCGTTCATTAGGAAACTCCTCATGTGTAACTGTATGTTCTACTGCTTAATAAGGGGCTGGAAATATGGGGGGACAAGGGGGACAGCCCTTCAGTTTGTTCAGGATGTGATCTTAATGCGGTTTGTTTTGCTTCTTTTACAGACTTTGGTGTCAGTGCTTTTTTGGCCACCGGTGGTGACATTACCAGAAATAAAGTCAGGAAAACATTTGTAGGCACACCTTGCTGGATGGCACCAGAAGTTATGGAACAGGTGAATTGCTTTTCCTAGCATCGTCCTCTTAGCTAGTCTGCACCTGGAATCTTTGTGTTCAGGAACAGCCATATTTACTCTCACCTTAGATGACAATTTTGCATCCTGTGAGGCTTAAAACCAGAGAATTGTCTTACATATGGCTGTTGCTGCCAGGCTTTCCTATGTAATGTTCAGTAGCTTCTCACCCTGTTGCTTCTCTCCAAGCTTGTACCAAGGTAAGTATGAGGCAGCTTAGCTATTGCGTAAAGGAGATTAACCTGCCCCTCCCTCATGCCTAAATGTGAGGCAGAATATAGTTTCATGTGTGGCAAATATTCACATATAGTTAGGTAAGGTGCATTGTGTCAAGGTGGAGAGTTATCACAGTAAAGTAATGCACAGTTGACTTTATTGAGCTTTTTAGTTTCTCTTGGCTTATGAGTATCCAGAATGTAATTACTGAGGAACGCCTCTCCTCCTTCCTCCTCTTCCCTTCTGCCTGGCTCATAGCTGTCATACTTCTTGTCTTCCACCACTGCTAGACTAAACTACAGGGGTAAGCTTTATCTGCTTGACCACTGATGAAGACTTTGTTTAATGTAGAGCACTGCTGCCATTTCTGAGCAAAATCGACCAGCAGAGTTATGCCCCAGTTCCAGCAAAGCATTGTGCAGTGTCTGTGGCAAGGATGCTCAGTGTCATAAACATTCTGAGAGCTGTCCATCACAGTCTTAAAACCAGTTTGACAGAGAGCTGGAATTGGTTTCGTTTTTGGCATGTGCACCAAGCAGAAATTCTGCAGACTCTGTATTTTTCCTTTTTTCTTCTAGGAATTTTTGAAACAAAAATGTTTTGGAACAATGCTGTTTTGTTAAAATATACCTAGCTTGGTACTTTTTTTTCTTCCTATTTTGTGGTAAAAGATTTTAGGAGAATTTGGATAACACCTCCACGCATATATAATCCAAAATGAAATGAAGTGAAAACAGCCGTAGAGTTTTTAACACATTTTTTCCTATACCTAAAACTTCTGGAGGAATTGAGATCATTTTGGAGTGGCTTAAATGCAGTATTTATGAAAGGCTTCTTCACTGCTTGGCCTTTTCAGTGGCTCCCCATCGTGGCTTTGCAGGGCTCCTGCAATCTCCCTGTGTACAGATAGAGCACCATGGGATGCAAGATGTGTCCCTAAGTCAGGAGCACTCTTGGAGAACTTCTGAACCACTTTGCTGTTGTGTATTCCTGAATTTTTTTTGGTGCATTGATTTTTAAGAGGAAAAGGAAAATTCAGCTGGAAATGAGAATAGCACACACAGTATTTCCAGAACCAGGTCTGAGTTGTCCCTGCTTTTGTCTTTTGTGTCAGTGTTGCTCCGGGCTGCTTGTGGTTAGGAATGGCAGGGGGAAAAAAGCATCTTAGGATGCTAGAAAGGGGAAACAGCTTTTGGTGAGAAAGGGGATATTTTGATGGGGCAGATGTTTTCTGAGGAAGCAGGTGGCTGTTTTATTTTTTGGTTTTTTTTGTTCTTTTTTTTAAGGAGCCCAGCACTTCTGTGAAAAGTGCACAACTTGTAGTAAGTCTGGGATGGTAGAGGAAACATTTTGTGTGCTGATGTGAAATCCTTGTGCCCACTGACATCATCCTGCTGCCTTCCAGCAGGTGTCGCTCTGAGCTGTTACATCCAGCAGGGAACAGAAGGAAGGGCTCAATGCAGGATAGCCTCCGATCTGTAGATTTTCTTGATTCCATCCATTTTACTTCTGCATCAGTAAGATCCTTTAGCATGTTGATATATGATAGGCTGGTGTTATCTCTTAATATACATTCACTTATTGGATTTATGACACACAAAAAAAAGCTGTTAGGAAGAATAAATGAGAGAAACTTACTGGCAGGGTGATAACTGTTATGTATGAGATGGGCTTCAAGATGAATGGCAGTAGGCAGGTTTGGACCTCATAGCTTTCATTTGGGAGCAGGATAATATAATTGTATAATATAATGAACAATACCAATCAGTTAAAATGGGGCGTTGTGCAGTGTGTAAATCCATGAGATTAACTGAGAGACAAAGCCAAGAAGCGTGCCAAATTGGTCTCAAAACCTAAAAGTGATGTGAAGAAATGTCAATTTATAAAACTTGCTGTGTATTTCCTCTTGTGCTGTGTGCCTGTGAATTATGTAAGATCCACATGCTTGTTTAGTGTAATTATTTGAAAGCCATTCATAACAATGGCTTCCATAAGCTCTCACTTCAGGAAGCCTTTCATAGTTTATAACGCTCATGAAAATGATGTCTGCAGAGCTGAAGAAATTAGTGCACGATATAAACTGCTGCTGCTATAATAAACTTTAATTCAATTATCATATCACAAAAACTAGTGGAAGGAGGGGGATGTCTTTTGTTTTGTTATTCTCACAATTCCAGATGATCTTAAAGGTAGTTTGGGGAATAGTTCTGGCTCCATCACAATGGGCTCCTTCTAAAGCTTGTTAGTGTCACTGAATACAGTAAGCCTATTAGCTTTGTTCTGATTCATTATTCATCTTTGCATAGTGGAGCAAGAAGACGTACAAGCCATCCTAGGCAGCCAAAACACTTTGGAGTTTGTGGCTCTTCTTGAAATTAGTACATAATGTCTCTCCCCTGCAGTGGAGAAAGCAAGTGCCAAAATATTACCTAATGATAATGAGGAAGTAACCGCTTTGGCATATGAAATATTTTTTCCTGTGTGTGAGGGGAAGTAAATGCTATAAATTTTCCTGAACAAGCCTCTGTTTAATGTCAAGTGCAGAAGCTACTATTAATTAGTGGAGGGAAATATTAGTCTGCAAGCAGGAGTGAAGGGTTTTGTGTTTTGTTTTTTTTATTTAACTGAATTGCTATGTACTTCCAGCACTGAAAATGTAGGGTTGAGCATGTTTGTAGTCAGATTGATGAAGTGGTTGACTAAAAGTGTAGTGAGGCATATGTCCCAAGGGCATAATGCTGCATCTATTAACTATGCGAGTTTCATTATACTGTTTAATGTCTGTGTTTTTTGTGTGGAAGTCAGAGATGGGTGTATGCAGTGCCCCTTTATGTTCCACATGCAGAGAAGCTTGTGATAGAACAGCTCCAGTTGCTCAGCCCAAGATTGTAACTTCCATCAGACTGTGGCTTCTTGTACCTTCAAAGAGGTGTATTGGACTTCAGAGAGAAAGGAAAAGCAGTTCTTTCCATCTGTTTAGCACTGTAATATTAGTGCTTCCAAGTTGCTGATGAGAAGTGAGGGGGAAGGAAGAAATGGGTGGAGGGTGAGAGGATGTACAACTAAAGAAAGGGACTAGAGACACAGATGCTAACGTTCCCTCATATCTTTCAGGTCAGAGGATACGATTTCAAGGCAGACATCTGGAGCTTTGGGATCACTGCTATCGAACTGGCTACAGGGGCAGCTCCTTATCATAAATACCCCCCAATGAAGGTGAGCAGGTCTCCGGATACTTGTGTTAGACAAAGGATCTGAATGTTCTATGAGCGTCCCAAAGAATTTGGCCAGACCGTTTTGTTGAAGAGCTCGTCCTCTCTATTTGCATCTGTGGATCACAATGTTCTTAGACTTGTTTGAAGTCAGCTTTTAAAAATATGCCGCTTACTCAGCGTTGTCCGAAGCTGTGCACAGTTCTCATTTAGATCTGAGATTCTCCTGGGTCGCCATTCTTGAGGAAAGTGCTGTGTGGCTCAATCCTAGAGCCTCTATAGACAGCAGATGTTAAAGCTATAATGAGTGACTCAGAACATGTTATGTGGCATCCACTGTCACTGAGATGGGGAGCTAATTCCTTTTGTATTGATGGTCCTTCTTGAAACCTCTCAGAAACATGTTACCAATGTTCCCCAAACAACTTGTGTTGTTTAACATGAAAACAATCCTGTTAATCACTGAATGGTGTCAGAAATTCACATCATGAGGAAATGGGAAGGGATTGGCAACATCATTGTTTTATTGAAGTTGAAAAGGAGGAAACTGTCTTGCTTAAATGTTGCAACTTTGAATATCTCTTTGAACATCTTGAATTTAGTTTGGGTGACTTTCTCCAGTTTCCTGTTTCTTGAATTAGGAGCTGCTTTTCACATGCTTCTCTGTCAGGGAATTTGTATTGTAAAGTTACCAGAGTTGACTCCGTTAGTTGATATTTCGAGCACCTTGCCCTTTGTCTGAGCTCTGAGATCATCCTTAGCCCCTCTGAGATCTGATGGGACGTTGTCTTGATCACTGGATCGCAAAACTTCCAGCCCTTTCTACATTTCACAGAATCACTCAGAATTGTATGAGTTGGAAGGGACCTCTGGAGGTCATCCAGTCCAACCTCAGTGCTAAAGTAGTTTCCCTGGAGTAAGTTACAGATCCCATCCTCTTGAAGGCCACTTTGTTTCTACCCTTGGTATGCATGCTTGCTCAAATTGAACAGGAGGGGGTGGAGAGTCCTTTTAGTAGGTAGTTTATGGTTGGGCTGGTCCCAATTTTAAGCACATCGTATACTAAGTTTTCTTCTTTTTAGTCCTTGAGTTGATGGAGAGCTATGCAAAGTGAACGTCATCTCTTTAGAACTCAGTGCATACCCTTCTACGTTATGACAGCATTTTTGGAGTCCACTAGCTCCTGATTTATTAGGGCAGGGACAAACACGTACAGCTTTAAATGCCAGGTGTTTAATTCTTGTTGAACAGTATAATTTCAAGATTTGCATCAGTTCTGTGTAGAGGCTGAGAGAATGGCTGAGTGGTTTAGAAATATCATTCAAATTCATACCGTATCAGTGACTGTGGCAGTGCAGTGAGGAGTTGAGGGAAATGTCATGCTGATTTAGCTGTAGCTGTTTTCACTGACACTTTGTGATCTGATATTTGGTAGTGTTTTGCAGTAGCTTCTGCAAAACTTCTCTTTATTGTTGTCAGTGCATGGCTTGCAGCATTGAATACAAAGATCACCTATTTGGTATCATGTTGTCACACAGTAGGTAGTTGTTAATCTGCAGTTATATTGGATATGGGTTCCAGTCATGCCGCCTGCAAGAGGATTTCTGTTTCATATATGGAATGCAGTTGTATTTCACTGCAGATTAATTTTCGTGCACAGCAAAATGGCCCGTGCATTAAGTGACTCTCCAAAGAAAGGGGAAAAAGCAGGGACTTCTCTGTAGGCTGTATAATTTCAGCTAGATTGATGGGCTTTCTCTGCCCTAAGCAATATAGCTGTAGAAAGAAAGCTTTTTAAGCGTGCTGTTTGCTTCCTTTTCTAAAAATAGAAATTCATCTGGATGTAGGTGACAAGTGGAAATGGAAATCAGTCATTTTCTTCCTTTCTTTGAGAAAGTATGAGTGATGTAAAGAAACTAATCAGTTCGTCTTGATGTGTAGGCGTGTAAGAAATGTCTTCACTTGTCATTGCAGCGGTACGTGGAAGGGAGCATTCCTGGTGTTTCATATTGCCCTACTGCTTTTATAAAAGTGTTACAGGATTTTACACAAATCTCATTTCTGGTTACAAGATACCTGCAGGGGAATCTAAACAGTCTTTGAGGTTTTCATGAAACATGTAGATGTGGCACTTTGGGACGTGGTGGTGGTGAGTTGGCAGTTGGACTAGATGATCTTAGAGGTCTTTTCTGACCTTAATGATTCTGTGAATCCAATGCTTGTATAACTACTCATCTGAAATGAGGAAGGCTGTTAAGAGTAGGGACATTGGGACTAGATGATCTTAGAGGTCCCTTCCAACCCAGGCGGTTGATTCTAAGATGATGATTCTAAGTTCTGCTGTGTTTATGCCTTTCATCACACCAAACTTGCCTGGATGCTTGACCCGTGGGCTGCAGTGTGGGCCAGAAGATTCAATGGAAGATAGTGACGTGGGCTGCTGGTTATAAATCAGACTAGCTTCCTGAGAACTGAAGGGATGGTAATGCTCCCTAGTATTGATGGATGACTTGTGGAACTCTCAGCTGACAGTCAGAATTTGTAGAGGTTTGAAGCTTTGGAAGTAAGCTGTTATCTCAATGATTGTAGGAAGCAGAGAGAAGAGGAGAAACCCTGTAGTTGCCTTGAGGAAAAGGTAATGGGGTGAGTTCTCATTGTAAGATGAAGGAGGACACTGCTGAAACTGTTAAGAAAAGAATTGGTCTGAGTTCAGTTTTCCCTCCTGAGAGTTGCTGTAAGGATCAGTCCTTGTTAACTCAGATATTTGATAAAAATGCTTGTTTAAAATGCTGTGATGCAAAGCTGTGTCCTTTATATAGAGGCCAAGAAAAATCTCATTGCCAATAGACATAATTCTTCCAGGTTTTAATGCTGACACTACAAAATGATCCCCCGTCTTTGGAAACCGGTGTGCAAGATAAGGAGATGCTGAAGAAGTATGGGAAATCTTTCAGGAAGATGATTTCATCGTGCCTACAAAAAGACCCTGAAAAAAGGTGAGACCTGATAAGAACAAAGTAAACTTAAGAAGAAACAACCCTCAAGACTCATTCTGTTTCACTTTTTAAAGTGGTACACTCTCTGCTTCTCTAGCCTTATGAATGCAGCAATGTGTGGCTGCAAATTCTTTTGGCTGTCCTTACTTTTAAGGATAAATGTCTGGCATTGTGCCTTTCATTTGGGTACACGTCTTTCATTTGGGTTAATGAGTGCATCCCAGTCCCTGCTAGCATAGAGCCCTTCTCCCCCTTGCCACCACCAACAGGTGACTGCAGTTCATGCTTTGTTTCTCCTCAGAACTGCTCTGTGTTTATAAACCAGAAATTACGTGTTGGGCAATGTGTCCTTATTTGTGAAGCTTTGCAAACAAACTTCTAAAAACTTGCCAGCGCAAAGAAGGCTCTCAGTGTAGTTTTGACTTGATTAATTATAACTCATGTTTATTCTGGGGGCAAAATACCAGGAAAAAACAGTGGCAAATTTTACCTAACATGTTTTCATCAATACACATTGCTTAAGTCAGCTGATGGCACTTTCAGTCTTCTTTGCAACTGCAACCTGACTGCTCAGTGGTGGTAGAAATATTGACCAGGACGTGGTGCATATGTTGTGGTTGGTTCCCAGGACACCACTGTGTGATGGCACTGTGTGATGGCACTGTGTGAAGCCACATGAAGGTCTTCCTGTCTGGTGCTGTTTAAAACCCCACAGCCCATCACGTGGGAAAGCTCAGAAGATGGTGAAAGGAGCGTTGGATCTGCATTAAAAATAGCATTCCTTAAAAATGCAAAGCAAAAAAAAAAAAAAAAAAAAGTATTTCCACAGGTCATTTTTTTTAATATTTATACTTCTTCATTTTCTTTTTTCTCTCTAAGTAAGCTAATTCTGGAAAGGGAAATGTCTCTTCATAAAGTATAAATTGTGGAGATATTTTCCAGTTCCTTCCTGTGCTGGATTCTGGAACAAAAGCTTCTCACACATCATGAGATGGATTGGAGGGGGGTTCTCTCTCTTCTAACAGTCTTTACATTTGAAATGCTAAAGGAGTCCAGTAGAGTGCTTGATAAATGCACAAAACACATTTTTCCCCCAGCTTGATATTATTCTTTTTCATTTTTCAAGCACGTCCTATCCCTGCAGGTTAGAACGTGTGATTAGAATTAAACGTAATTACTTTCAATCGTGGCATCCCCCATCTCTCTTCTCAAGCACCACTAACAACCACTGTAATCATCTTTACTATGGGAGCAGGAGGTCTGCCCGTGAAGAGCAACCTGCAAAATCAGATATGTTTATGCAAGCATGCAGGCTGTTAAAGAAGAGTTACTGAATTGCTTTTACAGTGTTTTTGCTCACTTGTAATAATGTCTCCCCTGCTATGAGGTGAGAGGCTTCTCTGGCATAGTCTGAAGTGAATGCCCTTTTTAAGTCAGGAACCACACAACGTAGGCAGTTTGCAGTAGGGTAAGTGTTGTAAGCTGCTGCTTTCTCATGGAGGCCTGAATTTTTGGAATACAGGGGCAAATGGCTGTTTCTTACTTGTCAATGTTTGTCCTAACATGTAACTTAAAAGGGAGGAGCTAATTACACATATTTATAATGAAGCATTTCTGGAATAAGTCTCACTAGCACACGGTAGGTACTGCACTCCTTCAGTAGGTGATGATCCTTCATCTGAATTCCCAGCAAATTGCTTCTGTGATTCTGTCAGCTAGGCTGTAAGAATAGGAACAGGGCTTTTTGCTGAGTGAACTCACAGTAGGCTTTGCTCAGAATACACTGCCACTTAAAAGAATGTTTGATTACACTGACTAACTCCTAGGGCAGCTAGGAGGTGCAGGAGGTGATGCCCTTATGAGATGCAGCAACCTGTAAGACTTGAGTTGAAATGGAAATTTATAGTGTTTCTTCTGTTTTTATTGACAGACCTACAGCAGCAGAACTTTTAAGGCACAAATTTTTCACAAAAGCAAAGGTAAGGAAACTCTTCTGAAGCTCATCTGTGCAGAGGTTGTAGAGGGGGACTGGTCAGAAGGATGGTGAAAGCTTTACTGATGTGAATGTGAGCTGTTCCAGAAGGCCAGAATTGCTGAATGAGTCGAATGGGTCATTGTGAACAGACAAAATGAAATCTCTCTTCTGTACCTCCTTGTGTTTGCCACTACTAGGATAAATTATTTAGAAATTCTTCAGCGTTTAAATGCCTTTCAGTGGGTTTGAGGATTTTTCCTTCCCTTGTAATGGTGCCATTCTTGCTGTGTGTCCAGACATAAAGGTGTCTGGCAGTAAATGGAGCTCATATTTATATTTTAGTAAACTATAACCTGTCTGCATAAGTCTGTATGCAATACAGTGAATAAGACCCCTGCTGTGTGGAAAGTTGCCTCATGCTATAGAGATAGAAAGTGAAAATCTCATGATGTAAAATAAAAGGAAATTCCCATTCGTAGCTGTGAAGCAAACTGCTTGAGCATGTATCCACAGGTAGCTGATAGAGCATTGGGGTCAGCAATTAATGACAGTAGGTCTCAGCTCTCAGATTAAGATGTGTACAGTAGCCACATAGAGTTTTTATGTTATCATAATGGGATTTTAGGCAACTGATTTGCTTGCAACTTGTTTACTGAGAGCACGCTTGGTGTCCAAAGCGACAGGGAGATGGCTTACACATTGCTAACCTTTCTGTACTTGGCTGATGCCAGTTTTAGTTCATGTTGTACTTCATTGTGTATAAAATTGCCTTCCTGCTTTCATTAAGCTGCTACAGAGTCACGTATTTGCATAGGCAGTGATAGAAAAACATGATTGTAAATGAGGCAGTGCTTAAACCCAGAGGGAATAATGCATGCTAGTCAGTGCTCAATGTTAAATTGCCTTCAGCCATTGACCTCTGCCAAACTGACAGCTGTAACCTGAGGATGAGAAAGTCCAACTTCTATACGCTTTTGAACCAAATGTGAAGATAGTTTATATAATGTAAAGTATGTTTTGGTAGTGCTGAAAGCCACGTATCAAAATGTGGCAGTGTGTGTCTTAAGGAAATGCAATGCCATAGATCATTACAGCAGTTTCCAGTATTTAACCTGCTGTGATTGCTGCATTTGCTCCTGCTCTAACATCACATGTTGCACACTTTTCCAGCCACTCAAACTGCTGCTGCCCCAATACCTGTGGGTAGGGATTCCCATGTCCTTGCCTGCCTGACTTCTGAGAGGTGCCTTTGGTAAGACAGGCATAAATGTAGGGGTAAGAAACAGCAGTGTGGCTTAGATCCAGGTTCTGTGGTACCTGCAAAGAGCAGGATATCAGATGCTGCTATGCAGTGAGCACAGCTGTGTTCTCCAGTAAATCAGACAGAGTTTTGCTCAGTTTCTCAGTTGTCAGTTTCTTATCATCTGCATAAGGAAAATGCAACTACTAACTTAGAAGGTATTTAGGATAAAGCATCATACGTTGTGGTACAAAGGAAGATAGCAGTAAAATTGTCCTTAGAGTTGATCTCTCTTTGAGAGGAAAAGAGGGTGAAGCATATAACAAACTATGTTATTAGAAATTATTTTAAACAGCTTAATTATCAGATGCCCTGAAGGAATCAAAGGGCATTTCTAGCAGTGTGAATGTTTAGTTATTTTCCTTTTTTTCTTTTGCAGAATAAAGAGTTTTTACAAGAGAAGATGTTACAGAGAGCACCAACAATTACTGAAAGATCCAAAAAGGTACTGCAAAGCTGCTGGGCTCTTGCTGTTACAACTGTACTAGTTTCTTAATGAGCGTGATTGTAGTGCAGTATTTCCTAGATATAGCTAGATGTTCTATTAAACACTTGAACACGCTGACTGAAGATGCATTTCTCCTTTTAAAACAAAACAACTCTAGAAGCAATCTCCTTGACCTGTGTGTTCTCTGTCGTTGTGCTGAACAGGTGAGGAGGGTCCCAGGATCCAGCGGGCGTCTCCATAAGACTGAGGATGGCGGCTGGGAATGGAGTGATGATGAACTAGATGAAGAAAGTGAGGAAGGCAGAGCAGCAATTTCACAGCTCAGGGTGGGTCCTCAGACTCCAACAGCTTTGTGTTGTGTTCTAACTGTAGTATGTTTAAATATGCCTGGCATGGGTCAAGCTTTGTTCTAAGTATGATGCGCAGTAAGTTGTTGTTATCCCTCCCCTCAAGTTTGCAGCCAAACCAGAGAAAGCAGACTGAAGGTTGAAGTTCTTACTGATTTCTTTTCTGTAGTCGTTCTGGGGCACAGCTGGTCTAATTCAGGGATGTTGAGCATAATTGAGAGCAGGAATTCAGACAGCGTGCTCCCGGCTTGGCATGCTCATTCACTTGAGCTTAGTTATTCTTTGTTTTTAAGGCTACTGTCTGTTTGAGGTGCTTTCTTCTGGAAGGGTCAGGAGAGATTTTGTCCTGCACTCTTCAAGATGAAACTGGAATCAATGTGGCCTGTTCTTATGGCTGATGTCTGAAACAGAATCGAGTTCTTTACTCTCGGTTACACTGAGATCTATTAATCCCTAGTAGAAAATCCCATTGCATCCCTGAAGTTGCAAAGAGGGAGTTGGTCTGGCACTTGAAAATCCCCCCCAGCTACACGCCTGTCCCCACAACACATGCAGCCTGTCCCCTAGGAACGCAAATGAGACATGCATAGTCTTCCTCCCTCTAGTCAGCAGTGCAGAATTTTCACTGTAGTGGCTTTCTTGTGTTATGTGTTTCCTTCTCAGTGAAGTAGGCAGCTTGAAGTGCATTTCAATTGTTCTGCTGAGTTCTTGAGATAGGAAAGGGTATCTAGAGGAAGATCTTCCATATGGAAAAAAAAACCCACATTGGGTTTGAAGCATTTATTCCTTAACAGCTTCCACTTTTCTCATCCTTCTGCTGGTGTGATCTATGTAGAAATTTAGTATTTGAAGACATATTTAGTTCCTTTAGCATCTTTTGAAGCCATAGGTTTTTCAGATAGCTGTTAGTATACCAATTCCATGTAATAATTTGTGTTAACAGCTATGTGACTTTTAAGAGCTCACTGTATCCACTCCTTCCTGCAGTTAAGGAGGATCTCTTGGTTCCTGGTGGGTATTACTGAAATTCTTTATAAGCTCAAGTCCTCTAAATCTCTCTTACAGACTAAAATACAATCAATCTGTAGGATGGAATACTGTAAAAAACCCTAACTATTTCAGAGGTTAATTAGAACTTGCTCTATCTTGTCAGAATCCTATCAACTAATCCCACTTACCGTGTTTTGAACAGTTCTTAGATGTTTCATTCCTTTTACACAGAAAAACACATGTTTACAAGCTCCTTTTCAAGTTACTTTGTTTGCTTGCTTTTCTTGGAGCTTTGGCACATTTCCTTGTACTACAGTCTTTTCTCATCTCTTTAATTTGGGACGTTCCTGGCCTTCACTTTTGGACCCTGGGCATCTGTGCAGCCCAGAGGGAAAAGCACAGGAGCCCCTATGCACCTCTTCCATTTGATCCCCTTTTTAGACTTGGATTTAAATTGCAAACATTTGTTACAAATACTGTGATGTTATGGAGTATTAATTCTGTGTTCTGGCCATATTTCAAATGCCACATCAATTCCACCTGCCTGTAATCCCTTCACAGTTTTACTGAATTGGTGAATAGTGTGAGTTTAGACTGTAGCCTTTATTTATTCCTGCTGCACCTGAGTTTTACTGCTGTCACCCTTAAAGGATGGCTTATTGGCTGACTTTATTTGCTGAAGTACTTCACTACTATCTTCTATGAAAGCTTTACATAAATAGTTTGTATTTGCTGTCAGTTTCCACTGTACAGAAAAAACAAGGTGGATTTAATACATAAAGTGTGTGTTTTACAAATATGTTGCTGAGTCTGCACCTGAAAGCAGACAAATATTAACACTAAAAAAGTTTTCTGCCTGTGTGCATGTATATTTAAGCATGTCCTCTCCAATCATCCTATTTATGCCTTAAGTAAATGTATTCTAATATTTCTCTTATTTCCATTCTGCCTGTTCATGCTTTTTCCTCAGTTTACCTCTGTTTGCCTTTTATCTGAGCTGGTTAGCTGCAGGGCAGGGCTTGTGTGCCGTGCTTGTCTGTCCAGTGTCTGACACACTGATCTTTTGGACAAGCTCTGAGTTATTCTTTGAGGCACCCGGGTGCTCTTGGATGTGAACTTTCTGCCTGAGAGAACAGCACTAAAGCTGTGGCCTGCAGATGTGGAGCATTGCTATTTACCTCTGGGAGCAATGCCGTATTTTTCATCTTTGCCTGGTCGCTGTCAAGTGAAGGCTTAACACATCAAGATGGATTTCAGCCTTTACCCTTCCAGGTTGGATTTCAGCGTTTACCTTTCCAGCTGCATGACTTCTTTTTCCTGACACTGTCTGCAATTAGTCAGTGTGAAGGAGCTGTTCCTTCTCCTTCTGTCCAGATGGCTTTTTGCAAATTGCTATTCTCTGAGTAAGACTATTTCTTTTTCTCTAGTGAGATGCCTCTGGGTCATACATTACAAATTGTCCTGACCTGTACTGGTTAAGTCATTGGCATTGGCTGTTGCATAAATTGCCCCTGGTTTAGTGGCATGATAACTTTTGTTCTGTCAGACTCATATCAGGCTGTCTTTTAGGCACTAGGTGTAGAACGCTCATTTTGTTAATCCCAGTGTGGACCTATCTAATCTCTGTACAGTAATTGGACCTGTTAGAAGCCAAAAATGCAGGCTATCTTAATTGCAGAGCTTTTCAGGAATTCTTGGCAATTCCTTTCTGTCCATGTGAAATAATTGATGCTTGTTGTCTTTTTTTACTGATAAGCAAAGATTGACCACATTGCTTTGATTGCACTTTCCTTCCCATTACGCTGATTTTTGTTTCACTGCTGAACTTGTGCATAGCTGTCAGTTTTCTGCTCTCTCTCAGGGAGAGCATAGCATCATGCAGAGTCCAAGAGCAAGGAGAAGCAGGAAGGAGATTTCTCTATGAAGCAGCATATATAAGGCTGTTGTTTTTTTCTCAAGACTTTGTATGGTTTAAGTAAGTTAGCTTGCAAACAAGTTCTCAGCAAAGTTTATCAGCAAAGGATGTGTTTCCTAATGGCATTTTATAAAGCAGACTTGTTTATCTTTTTCTGTGAGATTTGGGTAGCTTAGAATGGACCTTGCACGAACAGTTTGAGTTGATCTTGAGTTATCTTGAAGAATGCTTGATCTTGATATTGGTTAACAATTAGAGCAGCTTATGTACTGTGTACCACTGTATGCCAGCTATAGCTCCTGAGACATGACTGTGTGTTTCTGGATATTATAGTATGAATAGATTGCCACCAAATTGTGGCTTTCATTTCATTGTACATCTTAATATCTATATGTAATTTAAAAAAAAAAAAAAAAACAGTAAGTTTTATACATTCAGTACAACTCTGACAAGTCCTAGTTGATAAGTTTAGTTTCTGTCAAGGCAGTGACAACCTTTTCTTGTTGTTTTTTTTTTTCAGTCTCCCAGAGTGAAAGAACCTGTACAGAATTCAGAGGTAAATATTAAATGTGAATGTCTTCCCAAATATGGTAGCTTCTGATTATTTCTGTCATAAATACACTGAGTAGGAATCTCTGCTCAAAACTGTGAAATAAATCTCTAGTAGTATTTGATTGCAAACAAAACTTAATTGCAGTTTGTAATCTGCATTCAGCTGTGTCCTGTGCTTCTTACATTAGGAGTATTAGTATATCTTATCTTTCAGTGATAGAGACTGCTTATTTCCTAGAGCATGGACTGTGTCTTTCCTTTTCTGCTTGTTCTACTTTCATCTGTTTTCAACAATTGATTATGAAGGGAAGTCTCAAGAAAGACTGCAGATCTTGTGGTATAATTTTAAGCTAACTCTGAAATCAAAAATGAACCCATAATCCATTTGGGATGAATGTCTCTATTGTGATGCATCCCTTAATATATATTGTGGTTTGAAGATCTAATTCCCAGGCTTTAAGCATCCAAGCTGAGTTATGTTTCCTACATAACTGTGGAGTGAGTTGGAGGGCGCGCTGCAGAAGTGCCATCAAGTTTCGAGTTCTTTGGCCATCATGCCAAAACCAATTATTCTGTTTCAAATATCTGGAGTTAAGAACAACAAAAAGGTTAAACTTTAACTCTCCTCTCTCTCTCCACAGTTAAATTGTGTATACGTTTTCTTGATAAGGGACTATCTTTAGTAAGTGCAGTCCCAAAGAATTCGTTTTATATGCTTTGAAGAACTGGTGCTGTGTAGAAAGGTAGTTTTCACTTGAATACCTAAGTGCTTTGACTCTGACCTTTGTTTTACAAACATAAATTATTGATAGATGCTAAAGTGCCTTACAACTAGCAGAGTTGCTCTATTCTGACTGTCTGGCTAGTAGGATGTATAAGTAGGCTCAAGCCCAAACTCTTGAGTTATTCTTATTCAGACACATTTTGCCTACAGCTATTCCCATCGGCTGAGCCTTCAGCTCCTTCACTCAGTGCTCCAGCACAGGCACCTACTCAACTACCTCAGGCTGCAGGACCACCACCTGCACAACCTCAGGCTGCTGTACCTCCACCTAGTCAGGCTCCTCCAGCAGCCCCAGCAGCAGCTCAGGTAAGATCAGTAACCTTTTGTACTGCCTTTCAGCTTTACACTTCACCATTCAGTTTGAGACATGATGAAATGAAAGAAAGCCTTGACAGTTGCTTGTCTGGAGTTGCACGAGTGCTGCTGTTTACATAGAAGTGACAGCTGGCCTGGTAGCTTGTAAAAGGAAGACAGCTAATGTGAGCTCAGCAGTTCTTCTGGTGAAACTTTCACTGTGGGTGAGCAGTGATTTATGTTTTTATGCCGTTAAGGGAGTGCAGTGTTTGCTTTAAAGTAAGGTTAAAGGTGAGAAGGGAGAGTAATTTCAGTGGCAGCTGCTTGTTCCTGGTGTTTGAGGACAAGTTTTTAAGGTGCACCACAAACAGGTTCTGATTCTGTTTGCTCCATCATCATTGCAGTCTGTGGGATTAGAATGGAGAGAAAAATGAAAGGAAGAAACTAGCACATGTAGGTTCTCCAGGCATCAAAGGAGGGACAGGGGACCTAGGTTTTAACTGTCTTCATAGTAGTCAAAAATAGCAGAGAAACTCTTATCTTTGGGGAACTCTAAATCTTGCGGTATTTTCAAGCAAATCCATTTCAAGCTGAGAGGGGAGAATTGGGAATTTAAAAGCTTGACAAGCCCACAATTAATTTCTAACTGTATCACTACAAATTGTAGGTTTTAGTTCATATAGGCAGACATGCCAAAATTGGAAAGAAGCTCTAACTTGTGTTAAAAAAAGGCCAAACTAAATAATTACGGAGATGCTTGGAACGTTTCTTGTGGTTAAGCACTGCAGAGTGTGCCAAACTCCTGAGTGATGGCACCTCTTCGTAAAAGACACTAATGTTCATATTTGTTGATGGGCAGAAGCTGTCTCTGTTGGATGGGTCCAAGGTAGCATCACCCACTGGCAGATGCAGGGAGAAGAAACTTGGCAGTGTTGGTCAGAAAAATAACTTAGACTTGCTCCTTCCTAGAAACATTTCATTGTTTTGTTTTAGAGAAAGAGAAAAGATACGTACATCGCTTCACTGCAGTCAGCTCATGTTCCTGTTTACAAAACCATTAAAGACAGTGCATTAGTCATTAAACAAAAACAGTGGAGATGAGATCTGTCACATTCTTGGCTATGTTAGAAGTAGCTTTAATGCTTAAATCAAACTTTCACATCTCTTGGGGGGGGGAAAAAAAAAAAGGCCAGTATTTAATCCCTGAATTCTATGCAGCAGTTGAAACACCAGAGCAACAGTGAAGGCCAGGACTCATCAGTTCAGTAAATTGATGTTGCCTTGTTGGCCTCAATTAAAGTGCTTTGATTTTCACTAGTAGAATATCCTGTTCCCTGCCACTATGGCCCAATAGCTTATTTATTGGTAGCTTGTCCTATGTTGAACTTTATGGTGTTCTTCCTTATAGCTTTCCTTTGGTTCTTGTAGCTTGTTCACTCCCTTTATGCAGACCTCTGTGCTTTCTATAATCTTCCGCTTATTTTCACTGGTAAAGCTTACAGCTTCAGCAGATCCCAGACTGTGATCAGTAGCTCTGAGCTGCATTGGTGGCAGAAGAGCACCAAGACATGGAGTAGAATATGATTCTGAAACAAAGGGTGATAATTATCTCTCGTGAAAAAGCAGACGATCTGGATGAAAGAAGGAACGTGGTCAAGATTTCTAGGCTTAAATTCTCAGCTAGGCTTTGTCTGTTCTGTTACTGCAGATTTAAAATCCCTGGCTCAGCATGTGCAGCATAGATAATTTGTACAGAGAAAGAGTAATTGACTTTTTTCAGTTAGAGTGGGTTTTTGGTTGCTTTTTTTTGTGGAGTTTGATTAATAATTAATTCTTCACTGGAAGTATCACAAGTGCTATGAAGATGGATCTTTCCTACTGGAAATCTGCTGCTGAGCAATATAAAATGCTTTGACTTCAGGTACCAGTAATTACTCAGAACTAATTTAAAAGTGAAAATAAGTATCTAGATACTCCTAAAGCCCCCAGTTTCACTAAAAAGTAATTGGGAGTATATCCTAATCTACCAATTAATTTTTTTCCTGTGTACTCTTCACAATTGTATCACATTTGTAAGTCAGATATTTGGGGCAGAGATTAAAATGCAGGAGGTCTTGAAGTGCCTGATGAGTGGCAAGCACTTCATGATGAGGATGAGTGCCTGAAAACCTTAATTTTTTGAGGCAAAACAAGCACTCTCTTTACAGTTAGCATCTACTCTGAAGTTTCCTGCTAATTTGACATTTCAAAAAGTTGTGTAGTATTTCCTCTTCTAGAGACAATTGCAGAGCACATCCTGATTTACTATTTAAGCACAGAGCTTTCCCGTTTCATTCTGTCTTGATTTTCATTGTATTGTCAGGACCCCAATCATGAGTTAAATGTTTATTTTTATTCATAGTTGATTGAGTCTATTGCTAGTTTTAATGCTAGAGAAAGGAAGCATTAGTCTGTTTTAAAATAACATAATCCTATTGCAGGCCCCACCTGCCCCTGCTGCAGCTCCGGTACAGGAAGATACAAAAGTCCCCATCAGCCTTGTGCTAAGGTTAAGGTAAGGACACATAACTGATCTCTTATGTCAAAGTGAGTCTTTGTAGAGAGGGACACTGGAAGAACTCTGTAGTGCATCTTGTGTGCCCCTCTAGTTGAAAAGCCACAGCCATGTATTGTTTGTCAGCTTGGATCTATTCACCGTCTGAAACTGGGACTAAGAAAAGCAGTTTTCATCTCATTGGCTTCTCCAGTTTGACAAGAACTAGGTTGAAGAAGGTTTTGATACTTGAATACATCTCCCTAAACTCTGATAGTCCAGGAAGGAAGCTGGGTGCTCCAAAAGAGGGTCAGGGATCCAGGGATTTTGGCCATGTGCCTCAATAGCCAGATAATCCAGCGCAACTTCAGTCGGCTGGTTCTGAGATTGAAGAGCTTTTATCCAATTCAAGACATGGGTTCTGGGTCACGTCCCTGGAAAAGGCAGAAAAACGGTTATAAGTGCACTCTAGCATCATTTCTCATTTAAGGAATCTGCCTCTTGCTTCCATGGACATCTTGGTTGCAGATGGGCACTTGGTTGGTTCTTCTGAGCATCGTATCACAGTTGTTCTTGGGTGGCTGCATCCACAGAATGAGAGTGCTTGCTTCCTCTGAACGTTGTGCTCCAGGGACAAAGCTGCTCATAGCTATGAGTTGCTGACAGTGGAACAGTGTGGCACTGTACCAGTGAACTGACACTCACATATTGTAAACTTCTGCCCACTCCATGCTCTGTGAAGTAGACAGGAATGGTGTTGAGAGCTTGGCTTCCAGACACACAGCCGAGTGAACGGTTTCTGCCATTCAGGGAGGAAAAGCATAGTGAACTGGAGTTTTCTTCACAGACCAATTCTTTGCTGGTAGCACAGTGTTCTCTTGAACGTTGCTTAGTGCAATGAAATGTTCTCTTCCATATAACGTTTTCTTCTTCCCACAGGAATTCAAAGAAAGAACTCAATGATATCCGATTTGAATTTACACCAGGGAGAGGTGAGCTGGTGTGACATTCTGGTGCGTGAGGGTGGTTTGGTTAAAGGGACCTTTTGTGTTCAGTATTGTTCAGTTGTGTGTATGGAGATGCTGTGAGAGTGTCTGCCTCTTGTGCCTTCCCACAGGTATTCCAAGGCTTGACTTATGATTGAGCTGTTAGCTCAATTGAGCACTGCAGCTAAGAGGCCTCTCATGTAAAACTGTTACAAATATGACTGAGTTACAGCCATTCCATGCATTTTAGCTTGCAGTCTGGAAGCATAGCTCAGAACTGAATTACTGCACTGCTGTAAGCAGTAGGCTGGTTGACGTATGGAAGTGTGTGGTTTTCCCCTTTCCCTTCTGTGACTTTTGATCCCATATTGAAAATGAATAGCTAGAAGAAGAACTGATCTGAGAAGATAGCAATGCAGATATTACAGAATCACAGAATGGCCCAGGTTGGAAGGGACCTCAAGGATCATGAATCTCCAACCTCTCTGCCACATGCAGGGCCACCAACCTCCCCATTTAATACCAGACCAGGCTGCCCAGGGTCCCATCCAACCTGGCCTGCCTTGAACACCTCTAGAGAAGGGGCATCCACAAATCATTAGTTTGCTGGGCTTTCCCCTTCCACGTGAGTGATCTGTCTCCCTACCAAGTCACCCTTTTATTGTGGAGTAGACATACAAGCCTAGAACTTGCCTATGTAAATGTCTGGCTTGCAGCAGGTTGAGGCAGTTCTTTAGGCTGCCTCACTACACATTGAAAGACACCTCTTCAATAGGGTGTACTTAAGGAGTGCCCTGAATTGGGTGAGTGGACTTATTTTTTTTTACTGATTTTGAAGGGAACATCTCAGGTGGTTGTGAAGGCCAAGGGCTCTGCAAAGTTTAGAGTAGCCTCAGGATTTGCCCTGACAAGAATAGGGGAAAAGGAGCAAGCCTGGAACTGCACAGTCATTGCAGCTCAGAAAACAGAACTTTTCCAGCTCAGTACAGACAACCTTTTTTGGTCAGCATTAGAAAAGTTAAACTTGAAATGAAAGTCTGCAGCTTGCATACACTGTCTCATGTAAATAACATTTTTGCTGTTTATTTTTTTGTACAAGCTTCTAGATTTCTGTGTGAGACTTGTGTCAGCTGGACAGTTTCTTTTGTGTGGTAACCAGTTGCTGTGTTTCTCCCCAACAGATACTGCTGATGGTGTGTCTCAAGAACTAATTTCAGCAGGGCTTGTTGATGGCAGAGATCTGGTAATAGGTAATTATCAATTGTTTCTTCTGCTCGAACCATTTCAGTCATTTCTGCATCTTTAACATGACCTGATGAGTGGGTGCTGGGAGAGTTCTCCATGGCCTTGATTCTCTACCCCAGTGGCTCTACAAAACTGCTGGTAATTCCAGTGTGCCTAAATATATTTAGGCAATCTTTGGTTCACAAGAATAGGGTCTAGTTGAAAGGATTACAAAGCAAATGTTCCCTGTAATGTGAAATGAAAGTTAATCAATGCATTAACTAAATCAATCTCATCTGACGTAGGCACTGCCAAATTGCTTCACAAGCCTGTACTGCTGATAGGTTCTGCACAAAGAGAGGTTTGGGACTGGAATCAGACAGGCTTTTTTGTTTTAAGGCAGGCTGTGGAAGGAAGTATGAAGCACTATTGCATGCAGTGCACTTGGGCTAAGACAACAGCATGTGTTGCTGCTGCACTCAAGTACATATGAATAACTACATCCAAGAACAGCTTCCTAAATAAACATGCCCCCTTTATGCAACAGGTGGGATTTTAACTGCTAACAGCACCCATATATTTCAGCTACAGAAAGCAAAACTGTTCCTGCAATATCTGGAAAGGCTGCTAGTGCAAAAGTAAATGGGTTTTCAGGCACATTTGGAAAATTGTTACTACTAATTAGACTTTGAGGGGAAAAAGTACTTTTTCAAAAGAAGCACTGTAACAAAAATCTTTAGATTTAAATAAACTGAGTCTAACAGAGGCCAAAATTTTTTGTATCATTTTAAACTGTTCTAAGTTCAACTAATATAAAGAGACCTTATGAGTTTGGGATGGTTTTTCTCTGGCCAGAACTAACATTTGCCCATTTTTCTTGTGTGATTTCAGTTGCAGCTAATTTGCAGAAAATTGTGGAAGAGCCTCAAGCCAACAGATCCGTCACTTTCAAACTGGTATTTATTCCTGTTCCCTAATTGAACAAGCTGTCACTTGCAAAGATAAAACATTGCATATAGATGCTAGTGGTGTCTACTGTGGGCATCTAATGCATGCACTCTAAAACCTCCTTTCCAAAGCTTCCTACTGGTTGTCTAATAGTAGGCAATGCAGGCTCCCATCTTGTCCTCTGAGCAGGACCTGGCTTAAATAGCTGTGTCAGATGATGTGCTAACACGGAGCTTCCCTTGCCCTTGCCTGACCTGTAAGCGTACAAAAATGTTACAGAAGGGTGTTTTCTGGGTCTGGAAGTTACACAGGCCTGGAAATGGCCAAAATATGTCAGGGCAGGTAAGTGGGCAAAAATGTCAGTGACTCCTTGAAGGAGGAGAGTGTCAGAGAAAGAAGAGAAGGGTGATGGGGAATACCAAAGGCAGAGAAGAAAGGCTAGAGGAGGAGAGATAACAGCAGATAGTGAAATGCATAGATAACTATAGTGATAAAGCAAGGGTGTAAACATTTTATAGGCAGTGAGGCCATCAGTTATGTTACTTTTGACCCTTTCCCTGAATAAGCTATTCTTTTCTCCCTGTTCAGTGCATGTATCCCTAGCCAGAGCAGATACTGGCAGAACTTCAGTCCCAGCTCTTAGCTCAAAAAATCCCCAAAAACAAAGCTCAGTTCTAACTTTGGGTGATGCTGGCTGCAGTGCAAAACTGTCTTGTAACTGCTGCCTCCATAAACTGTGTCTGTTGTACCTCATAGTGATACTAAGCATGGTGTGAGTCACGAGGCAGAGCATGTGTGTTGCTATTTGGATCTCTGTTCCTTGTGTTCCAGGCATCTGGTGTTGAAGGCTCAGATATCCCCGATGATGGCAAACTTATAGGATTTGCACAGCTCAGCATCAGCTAAACAATGGCCCCAGGAGATGATTCCCAACAGAGAACCCACGTGTGCATATTTGTAATGCTTCTGTTAGCCTAAAAAAGAACCACTACTGCCAAAGAATTGAACTACAGCCCCCTTCCTAGAAGCTTTAACATTCTCCTTAATAGGATCACAAACCTTCCTGAGATTACCGATGGCGTTTACACCTTTTGTAAACAAGTCTCATGTTTTTGTGTGTCATCTCAAACATGCAGATCCAACATGTCATTGCCTGCATGTTCATGTTATTATTGCCTTACTTTAAAGAAAAATACTACTGAGTACGAAGCGGGGGTTCCACTGCTCTGATGATCTCGCCTAAATGTTTGCTTACATGTGGTTTCATTTTTTTCACTTGCTATTTTTGCACAAGTTTTAATACCGAACAGATCTTTTGTTTTCTTTTTTACCTGCTTCTCCTTCCATCTGAAACACCAGTGTACATGTTGCTTGTGTCACCTGGAGTGCTGAGAAATCTGCTTCTCTTCAGCTGTCTTTTTAAACTGCTGGTTTGAACGCTTGCACCTGAGAAGGCAAGCCAAGTCTTAACCCACAGGAGGGAGAGCCTTCTTCCCTTGTGTTTGTGTTTTTGAGAAGTTCCTCGACTTCAGAGTGTTAGAAGTCAGCTTCCCTTTGTAAACTGCCTTAATTTTTTTTTTATTTTTTATCATTTGGGTTCTCTCCACATGAGTGCCAGGCGTGGCATGACGGCTGAACCTCTTAATTTACGTTAAGCAGTCCTTCCTCAAAACATGTCTTTCAATCTACATCCTTAGATGTAGTTTGTTCTTAAAGCAGAGCAACGAGGCACTGCTGTCTGGAAACTGGTCTTGCAGATGATCAACAAACTC